TCTCAATTAATCAAATACTTTTTTTTTTTAAATCAGGTTTTGGTGAACTTTTGGTTCACTGGTTTGCTAGTTTATATTAAATGCATACTTAGTAACTGAATAAATTAACGTACTAAACTAATAAAAGTACTAACATCAAAGTTTATCATTAAATTATTATTAGGTACAAATTATCCTGTTAACAAAATTTTATCTATAAACGGTTGTATTATTCCCTGTTGTCCCTCAAGGGCACAAGAGAGCAATATATTATATGTCAATATTATAGTTTAATGCTCTTAGTATAATAACAATTTATAAAAAAAAATGGCCAAATGCCATTGCTGCTCATACTAAAGGTTTCGAACTATCTTTCTTAAGGTATCTTTATATTTGCGAATTTTGCAATACAATATATACCTGAGGAGCTTGATGGCGCAGGTGGTTAGCGCGTTCGGCTGCGATCGTTGAAGTTAAGCAACCTTCGCAGTGGTCGGTCATTGGATGAGTGACCAAAAATCTCGAGTTCCTCCATGCTTCGGAAGGCACGTTAAACCGTTGGTCCCGGCTGCATCTGCAGTCGTTAGCACCCGCCAATCCGTACTGGGCCCGCGTGGTGGGTCATGGCCCAATCTCCCTATTCCATCCATAGGGAAGGCATGTGCCTCAGCAGTGGGGACAATAATAGGCTGATGATGATGATGATATATACCTAAATAATTGTACGGAACCAATCCAATGCTACGAGTGAAATTTTTATTTCAAAATTAAAAAGAAAATCATCGTTTCGATCACCAAAATCTTTATACATTGCTATCAAATTGATTATATATTTGTTCTGAACAACGGCCCGTTATCTAACTTGCGACAAGTAGCTATTACTGCTATTATTAAAAAAGCGAACAATACCGCACATACATTAGTCCAGTCGGAATAAACATGAGACCTATTCTAAGACACCAGCACTTAGCCAATTTTTTCCTAGATAGTATAGACCCCCACGAATATGCCCTCCATTTGTCCCCGCTAGAACCCGTGTTTTGTAGCCAGGAAAATTGTTTAAACAAAGAATAACCGGTTTTTTTGAGTTTTTTTGCTTGTAAACGGGGATTTTGAAAATTTTTTTGAATCAAAGTTGTTCATTAGCTTGCCCTCTACAAAATCCGTTCTATGAAAAAATAACGTGAGATTGTTAGTTTAGCAGTAAATTGCAATTATGTCGGTTTTACGTTTGCAACAATTCAACATGTTATAATAAACATTTTGATTTCTAAAGTAGTTTATCATGTGGGTAACGCCACTCCCAAGAGAGTCATGTAAAATTTATCGACCTGTGTCGCAAACTTTAGCAACAATTCTCAATCTCCGAAAAAAAAGTACTTGCCTGTCCCGTCTTTCCCAGAAGGCGCACAGCGGGAAAAAAAAATCAGGTGATTCGATTCACCAAGAATTTTGAGGAATCGATCGAGTAGAAAAAAATCGTTAGTAAAAATGCTCGTTTTTGGACGATTTAATTTTTTTTAAAAATTGACGTAGAATATTTTTTTTAAACTAATGTATTTTTCTCTCCTCCTACCTAGGAAAAAATTGGCTAAGCGCTGGTGTCTTAGAATAGAAGTCGGTCCAAATTATGGCTATTCCGACTGGACTACATTTCCTACACCACGACAAATGATTTAATTTGACGTTTTCATACAAAAAACTAAATCAGAGGCACGAAATTTAACAGCTCCGTAATCATATTGCATCGTCGAAATTTTTATTTCACTCGTAGCATTGGAGTAGAAGGACAGCTTATACCTAATAGGGTCAAGTTCTCTGTAGATATAGAAGCATAGTGACAGTATAAGGTCCCGCGTTCACGCCCCATCTAAATTGTATAAAGACATCCTGTGGGTGGGGACATCAACAGCGGCCCGCTGCTTCTGGATTTTATTCACAGTCAAACCAGATTACTAAGATTTTAGAATTAATTATGCTTAAGAAAAATTGTACTAGAAAAAATCCACACGGACCAGGCAGCAGACGGGACTCGAACCCGCACCCTCCGCTATCCGGGCACTGACCATTATGCTACCGCGGCTCTGATTGTCTGTGCCGAATTTTCTCCAGTGTTTGTTTTCTAAGGCTGCCAGGCAGCGCCATCTCTTCGCCTTGTATAAAAAAAATGAATAAAAATAATTTACATCATTCCTATTATGAATGTGACATAAACTAATTATTTTTCCATTTATGAAATGAAAGAAATACCACGCAAGGAGAACAAATTACTTAATTTGGTCCTTATTTAGTACAATGGTAACTTTTTCTTTTGAACCAGTGGGAAGGCCAAACAGGGAGATCTTCCTCCGCGCTGGGTGATGGTAGCGACTGATGTTGGTTGGGCATTGTATATATGAAGTGTTAGCATCCGAATTTAACTTGTGCGATGTAGGCTTCCATACGTATTGATCGTAGCGTCGGTAGCGCCATCTGTTGAGGAGACAAGTGATTATTTCCTCCATCCGTTGGATATATATGGGAAATATAGATGTCGTCGCCACAAACCGTTTTCAAGGGAAAATGTTAAAGTTTTAAGTTAGTAAGAATTATTTCATCATCATCAGCCTATTAATGTCCCCACTGCTGGGGCACAGGCCTTCCCTATGGATGGAATAGGGAGATTGGGCCAAGACCCACCACGCGGGCCCAGTGCGGATTGGTGGGTGCTAACGACTGCAAAATGCAGCCGGGACCAACGGCTTAACGTGCCTTCTGAAGCACGGAGGAGCTCGAGATAGTAAATTTTTGGTCACCCATCCAATGACCGACCACTGCGAAAGTTGCTTAACTTCAACGATCGCATACCTCGAGGTAGGTATTATTGTAGTTGTCGCCCTAAAAATAGACTTTAGACCAAAATTTCACCTTGGTTCTTGTTCTGTCTAAGAAGTGTTGGTAGAGAATGCAATTAAATACTTTCTTCTCAGTACTATCTGCGAAATCAGATCAAATGAGATGCGATGTAGCGTTCCGGACAAGATTATTAAGGTCTATCAAAAGAATGTTACAAATTATCAGTACTTATTTTATTATCTGCTACATAGCGGAAACAGTAATTTATAAACACTTTACACGTCTTATTACATAACAGTAGATACGGATTTCCACATAGACAAGGTTTAGGTAATAAAAAGTTAACAAATAATCACATTTTCATTCTAATAATAATTTACTTAAACTTACATATTCGGCAAATATACAACCTACACACATCAAAAAAAGTTTGCGATCACTTTGAAAAATAGATAGTTTTTTGTGTTACAGAAGACTTTTTAAAATTAGAAATAGAACGTAAAACAATAAAATAATTCAATTGTTTTCCCATATAAAAAGACATGCACTCCAAGCTGACACTCATTCAGAAATCTGACTTCGTCAATATTATCGAATTTAAAATATTTTTTCACGGAAAGTTCTGATTTAAAAAATGCCACGAAGATTATCAGATGTTTACCGAGCCAGAATTGTAACTTTGAGGGAAGAAGGCTATTCTACGAGAGAAAGAGCACGCAGAGTTGCCATATCCCAATCCTGTGTAGTAACTACGTTGCAGAGGTACTACGGCATGGGTAATTTAGCTGACCAGTCGGCTAGGCTTCAGCAAAACGAAGAAGACGAAGAGGAAAACATTTGGCAAAACTGCCTCTTCGTTGACGAATCGCGAATCAGTACTCATCCTCGTGTTTGGAGAAGACCTGGAGACTCTGAAAGGCAAAGAACGGCCACTAGAACGGTTCAGCAAGGCGGGAAATCAGTGTCCTTTTCGGGTGGTATTATGATTGGGGCTAGAACGCCTTTAAACCCTTATCAAGGCTCCATGACGGCAGAAAGATACAAAACAGTCGCTATTGATGGAATCGTCAGACCTTTCCGAGTAAACCATGGGCACTAATTTGTACTGGTTGACTATAATGCGAGAATCTCCGAGAATACGATATCTCAAGGTTAGACTGGCCTGCCGGCTCTCCTGACTTGAACCCAATAGAGCATGCTCTTAAGCGAGCTGTTTGGAACCGGCAGCCACCACCCCAGACAGTGCCGCAGCTCAGGGAAGCTGCTGTTCAGGAATGGGATAGGTTACCACAAGAAATGCTGGATAACTTGTTCCTTAGCATGCCCAGGAGGATCTTCGCACGTGTTCGAGCCAGAGGAGGAGTTATTTTGTATGAGATAAACAACAATTTATTAATAAAAGGTTGTTAAGTTTGGTTAAATTATCTTTTTATTTCTATCAAAGTTCTATTACAATCGGCTTAGGATTGAATTAATTTTTTTTATACTAGAAAATAAAATTAGTTTTATTTTTTAATTTCAGAAAGTGTATTTTTAAATAAAAAAAGATATAAAAAAAAATGGTTGCCTGTAAAGTCGGTTTTACGGGCGAAGATTTTACGTGACAACGTCTTTTTCTCGGTAGAATATTTATTGATATGAATATAATTAAATTGCACAATAGGAACAAGGAATTGAATGAAAATAAGAATTGCACAAATTTTAACTATAGAAATATATTTTGTTTACTAAAACATTGTACATGTAAACTTAAACTTAACACGAGAGACTCATCGTAACGTTACCGAGCGTTACACTTTTTCATAAGTGACTCCCAGCCGCAACCTAATTTAAGACGTTGTCACGTCAAAAAAAGATAGAACGTAAAATTTTCTCTTCATTAAGTTAAATTTTGAAAATATATCAGCTTTTGTAAGTGATCTCCAACTTTTTTTGATGTGTGTATGTTTGTAGTCGGTTAAAAATAAATAAACACTTTCTAGCGTCCCTCAGTTGAGCTTCCCACCTCATCGTCCTATTTGCCCACATCCAATCATTCCATCGTGCCCGTGATCTTAAATCTAGACCAGTCTGCTAAAATATTATAAATAAAGTAGTTGCTCCGCGATAGTCCGAAAATGTCCATTCAAAATTTGTCTCAGTAATTACTTAGATTTCATTGTTTAAAGTCATCTAAGAAATCCAAAGAAATCTGTACACAATAAACAAGACTTCTTTTTTCGTTGCGTAAAAAAGTATTTAAATTAAAAACTAAAAAAACAAGAAAAAGAAACCTAAAATTTTTGAAATAAGAAAAAGTTCCAATAACTTTTTTGTTAATACCGAGCACAGTGAGAGTCACAATGAGTAACGAAACCAAATTCAACAACAGCTATGCGTTCGCTCACAAGTTCAAATACCGGTCTCCTTTGTGGATCGAATCTGACACCGAGTCTGAGAGCAAGAGCAGCAGTGGCAGCGGGCTGTGCAACAGTGACGACAGCATAGGCTGCGCCTCCTCAGACAGCTCCGGAAGTATCAACAACTTCTTGGATTCTAAGGTTCAAATTTGCTATCTCCTCTCATTAGATTTAGAGATTAGATGGCGTAGCTTCTTGACTCTCACAAGTGCTTGTAATAGCCTAGACTAAATAAATGACTTTTCATTTCATGACTTTCCATTTCATTTCATTTCATGACTTTTCATTTCATTTCATTTCATTTCATTTCATGACTTTTCATTTCATTTCATTTCATGACTTTTCATTTCATTTAATCTTTGATTACCCGAACTGTACTCTTCTATATGCTAGCAAACACCAATTCCATCTGTGAGGTAAATTTAAGATTTCAAAGAGGCAATATATTTGCGTCTGTATGTACTTTTCTGTTAACGATATGTGCTCAAATATATCCGTTTTCTTCTTATTAAAGTTGATATAAAATTGAGACATAGACGGTCTGTGGTAAACAGATGCTGTGAATGATCGATTCAATATCAAAATTTAATATCGTTTGTTCCGTCCAAGCCAGCCCAAGCAAACTTTTGAAAGGAAAATCCGTTATATCTGTTGACATTTAGAATGTGCTGAACGTACTGTTGATTGATATCCCAAAATCCCGCTGGACACATGTATGTGAGAGACGAAGCTATCTTGCGGCCAGTATTCGCGAGTAAATCTGGGTATTGTTACCAGATTATAATTACCCTTCGATTGACATAATTTAACTTGAAACCTGCTGCTATCAATCGGTTGATGACTGGTATATTTTTGTGAATTGTTTAACTGCACATAGAGCTTCTTTTATCTTAAAAAAAATATGTTAAAAGGGTGGCAAACAGGCGTTTGGTCCGCCTGATGGTAAGCGGCCACCATAGCTTACAGATGCCTGTGATACCAAAAATATCCCTCGCTCCGTTGCCTACCCTGACCTGCGGAGCTCTAGAACCTACTACAGAAACAGAATACCACCAAAAGGGAGTGCTGTTTTACTGTGATCTTCTGTAAGGTTGGAGATTCCCCATACGGGCAGTCCAATTCAAGCGGAAAATCGGCTATGCCCTACCCTACCTCTCCTACAGCATCATTTAGATAATCCACTAAAGGTACAATGTATAATACAAGCACTGAAACAAAAATAAAGTCTACACCTAGTAGTGTATACGTATCAGTCTTAATAAGGAAGCAGGCATATAATTTACCCCCGGTTGCCTTCGGGGTAATCAACCATTATTTATAGAACGTGTACACTGATCTCACAGACGAAAGAGCGCGTAAAATGGCCACTAATTGCAGAATCGTGATCGATTCGTCTTTAGATTATTAGCTCCTTTATTAGCAAACGCTTCGCTGAAGTCTAATTAAACTGCAAACATGTACCTAAGCAAATGTTATGCCTCCAATGTGACTCAAACTGAACTGAAATAGGCATCCTGCAATGATAATTATGTATGGAAGAATAAATCCGAGCAAAGATGAATGTGTTTGGACATGACAGTGAAAAGTTACTTAATTAATTGGGGAAAAATTATGTATGTAACTTAAAAAAAATTCAAACCTTTGGCAATTTATGCAGCAATTTGTGAACTTCCCACGACATTGCCAACTAGAGTCTTGATCCAAGTATTTAAAGACGCACTCTAGTTAATGTACGTAAATGTAGTCTACGAATTACGTAGCTAAAAATATCCACCACTGAGAGAAAGATTACTAGAGTCTGTGCGGAAAGAGAATGGGCGTGGCGAAAAACAGAACTAACATTAAGATTTTTATTTGGCAATCAAACCCAGCAATCTGTAAAATGTCAAAATTTTGTGTTGATACGGATTTGTTTGTTGTTGTAATTTCTTGCAGTTTTTTGTATTTAATCATGTCTAAAATGGGTGAAACCTTACAAATACGGTAGAAAAGCACTACAGCGCCCTCCAATCTAAATCCCATTCTCTTACCGCAGACTCTAGAGCCTTTCTCCGTTTGGCTAGTTGATCAAAAGATGTGTTTCTGAAACATAGTATGCTGAGATTGAATTACGCCAAACTATCATTATATCTCAGCTCTACCCGTCTTTTCAGCCCCAGAGTAGATTTTTTATAGTGGCCACCCACACCCTGTCACTTGATAAAATAGGCTTGATCAAACCAAGCTGACTGTGTGTAGGGAAACATTTCGGAAGGACATGCCACTTGACGGAAGGATTCTGACTTGATCAAGCCTATTTGTTCAAGTCACTTGATGAAGCGGCACTATAGTGAATGACCACCATAAAAAATCTACGCTAGGGCTGGGGAACAAGTGTGACCATCAGCTGAGATATAATGATAGTACGGCGTTTAAAGCATAGACATAGGATTCTACCATAAGGTTAAAGTTTGATTTTATGTGGTATTTATAGAGCGCCATCTTGTGACAACTTGTCGTACCTACTACAATGTCTCCTTAGAGCCTAGGATAAAATTACGTTGCAAAACACTACAAATCGTATTTTTTAAAGTTTCATGGTCACTAACATTATAGCTATTAACGCGATTGTTACCATGTACCTTGTTTTTTATGAGTCTTCGATATTTCGGCACTGTTGCAAGCGCCATGATCACGGAGTAACTGAAATAGTAAGTTATGCCGAAATATCTAAGACTCATAAAAAACAAATGGTAACAATCCCGTTAATAGCTATAAAATTCAAGATACAAAAAAGTTTTTCATAACATGGAAAGAGAATTTATAATGTTATTAAAACCAATTCAATATCATTTATTCAGTCTAGGCTGTTACAAGCACTTGTGAATGTCGAAAAGCTACGCCATCGGTTCGCAAATCTACGGTGGAAGAGCTTGTACTGAGAAGAACCGGCAAGAAACTCAGTCAAATATCATCTTACTTATATTAAAATCGAAAAAAAAAAATTTTTATTGGGTAGTGCATTTATCGAGCAAAACTATAAGGCTATTTAACATAACGCTATGACAAACAGGACCAATGGAAACTGTTACAAAACAGGAAAAAATATTCCATTTAAGAGCTTCCGTTGCGTAAATGGTAAAATTCATGTATGACGGAATTGTTCCACTTTAAACTATTATAAAAAGTCCACGATAGCATGTGTCTATCTCTTAAAAAACTTTGAAACCGTAGGGCTAGTGTTCAATTTACGGCAGCTTACCTGCCTTCAGTACCCCTAGCACGAACCATTATCGAATTCGAATTGTTTGCAAACCGAAATGTCAATTTCAAATTTTGTATGGAAACTTAAACAGCAGCGGCACAAAGTACGTAACCAGAACTAAAAATCAGTACACATTTGACACTGACATTTTGTATTCGCAAACAATACGAATTCGATATTGGTTCATGCTAGAGGTATTGCTCGTAAAGCTGTCTTGGATCTTGTATTAGAACAGAAAGACATACGCTTTTAAAGACACACAGGTGTCTATTCTGGCAGGATTATCTAAGCTTGAAAGTAAAATTAACATCGGTTTAACTCCTGTTCATTCTGTATGGAGAATGACAAGGATATATTGTTTTCAAATTTAAGTTTAGGTTAAGAGAATCATGCCAAAATCGTCATCATAGATGCTACCTCATGTTGATTGCATTATCAATATTGTTCACTCTTTAAAGGAAAAATTATTATCACATGTTGGGTACTTGTTCTGCGTTAATTGACACCTTTAATGATCCCAGACGGTTGCCAGACGAGGCAAGACAATGCAGTTTTAATTAGTTTATGGATAATTTGCGATTGCGGCGCATGCGGGCAGGATGCGCACGGGCAAGCGTAATAGCGACTGTATTCCTTTGACGAAGGTTGGTGCAGTTCCAGGATATATTTTTTTGTTAAAAAATATTGTCGGATTATATACAGTGACAATAGACCTTAGTGAATAGATCTCGAACATAGCTATCTCATTTAAAATAACAATTTCAATTTCATCAAAACTGATTTACTATTTAATAGAACTCTTCATTGCACTTATCAATCGCAAAATTATCGCACAAATTGAATGTCATTACAATCTTTAGAAATGATGTGATTTGAAAAGCTACAGTGATATTTTGACGTGACAACGTCTTAAATTAGGTTGCGGCTGGGAGTCACTTATGAAAAAGTGTAACGCTCGGTAACGTTACGATGAGTCTCTCGTGTTAAGTTTAAGTTTACATGTACAATGTTTTAGTAAACAAAATATATTTCTAAATTTAAAATTTGTGCAATTCTTATTTTCATTCAATTCCTTGTTCCTATTGTGCAATTTAATTATATTCATATCAATAAATATTCTACCGAGAAAAAGACGTTGTCACGTAAAATCTTCGCCCGTAAAACCGACTTTACAGGCAACCATTTTTTTATCATAGATGAATTTGAAGATATTGGCAGTTGTGTGGTATACTTGGATTTAATGAAATGGCCAATAAATTTCAAGGGTCTTGCCCCCGGAATATATTCGCGGCAGCGTGTAAGGTTTTGTTTTGTTTAGTCGTAACTATGAATTATTTATGTCAGCTTCCTTTTTTTGTTGTACTACTAGGGATTTAAAGTATATTTTATTAATCACTGTTACGTTTTTAATGTTATGCAACAACTTGTTATTACTACATTCTCGGCAGTTCGATAACTAAAATGTTTCACGTAAGATTTGTACCAATTCCCTATTACCCTGTAAAAATATGCATGTATAGCTGTTGGTGTACTTATAATAATAAATAAAAAAGATAAAAGATACATTTTTAATTTGCCGCATGTACCCCACACTGGATGTAATCATATGCGTATTTGAGTAACTATGTGAAAATTAAAATACTTATAAAACGATCTCAACTTTCACGCAAATCTTGAATAAATGCTTTATCGGATGTCTTTGATATTAGATATGTTTTATAGTTTCAATATATTTGTTTGCAATCCACTTTATACAAAAAATGTAACCGATTTAAAATATATCTTATGTAATTCTATACTGCTTGTCACATTACATACTAAAAATCATCTCTCTTCTTTGCTACCTACTTTTATTTGATTAACTTTTGTTTAATTATTATCAGCTTCGTTTACAGGTGTCACTCACTTTTCTAAGATAAAACTATTTAGTCTGAACCACTTTACGATGTGTGGTGCACAATTTTCATGAGAAATTATTGCGACTAAAATATAGTGATAATTGAATATAGTTAGAATATAAGTATACCTTCTTAATCGACTATAAATAGTGCTGTAATTATTTGATGAAAGTCATTAGTGATTTGTGATAAGAATGGATCTAAATACATTAAGAATAACACAAATGGTTTGTAGTGAATCCATTACATACTTCGTTAAACATGTTTAGGTTTGTAGAATTGCCAATGAATGGACAATTTATAAGTAATTATTCCTAACAATTTCAGTCTTGCTTTTTATAAATTAAACTTTTGTTCTACTTAACTTGATGTTAAAATATTGTATGAGTTATAATGTTATTTTATATTAAGAGGTATGTTATTTCCTAAGTGAGATTAATCTCATTTGATTTTTTTAAACCTTAACTATAATGTTTACATGTATTGTTGTTGCTCAAGGTTCACTTTTCGGACCGCTTATTTACACAATTAGTTTTCACCGTCTATAGTATCTATATTTTTGTTGAGGACGATTATAAACCAAACAAGGAAGGTAACTTTGTTATCAGTCTCACTATCAATACATAACACTCTCATTTAAGATGATTCATTGTACGTACAATGTTAGCTGAATTAAGCCATTGATTCTCTCTTTAAATCGTTAAGTAATAATAGTATAAGAAGAATAATTTGAACACGGTACGGCATTTTTTACCAGCTTAAAGATGGTTTTAATGAAGTACATTTTTTCAATTTTTGTTAGTGTCCCCGTTTCATCAAACAAGTGACTTTGTGTTGTTGTTTTGATTTGACTAGATTAAGCATTGAAAAATATCGTTAATTGAAACTTACATAAATACGTTCCTTCGCAAGGCTTTCGTTAGGAAATTGGATTGTGTTATTGGTGGCTTTACAATGAAAACAAAGCATAGCAAAAAGAGTACTGGTTCAAGCGATATTGTGGCGATTCTTAAATATAAAATTTGATGCAATTATTCGTTGTCATCTTTAATACCTATCTTGACCTGAGTGGAATTTTGTCTCGTTTTTTTGATATTTAAAGCGAGCTGCAAATAACAAAATCAAAAACTTTAGAATAAGTTACAAGGGTCTATAAAGGCTTTCAGGGGTAGTTTTATGTATCCTCTAGTCGAGAAGACTACATAGAGTCTTATTTTGCTATTAAAATAGTATTTCACTATACCAAAACTACTCTTTTGAAATTTTTGACGTTTTTAAGCTACGGCAACGGACTTTGTTCGTAAACTTATATCTCCTTATTAATAAACGTGGAATAAGCTTTAACTAGTTACGCTGTGTTTTGTTCATATCATACAAGTGCCATTTGTCATTCAATGAGGGCTACCGTTTTGTGCCTCACCAGATGGCGCCACTGTTGAGTGAGGTCCTAAATTGTAACTTTTAAAGTTTATTAATACGCACATGAAATCAAAGGTTACATTTAGATCGTATTTTAACACAAAAGAACCATATCCTAAACATAATAGGCCATGCCACAGTGACGCCCAGTTCCGTTTTATTCGGAAAAAATGGGAACATAATCATTTTTCTAAGCTCAAATTTTTAATAGCCGACATTCATTGCCACATAACTCATATTTGCCATAATTAAGCCGAATTGTTATCAATTATTCACAACATTATTTTAATAAGAAATAAACCCGCGTAGTCAACCAACAAGCAATAACATTTGACATTTCGGAGACCTCACGCTACACTAGCGCCTCTAGCGGCGGATTCATACGCGATAGCCCTCATTAACGGAGACAGAACATAGAGTAACTAATTCAAGCTTAGTCTTCGTTTATTAATAACGGGGAAAGAGAGGGTTTTGATTTTATGGTAAATCAATATTTATTGTAAGAGCTAAATTAACTGGTAAATAGTTTTACCAAAAGGAGTTTAGTATGTCGCATTACAATTTTAATTGTTTTAAAGAATCAGGGAGCCATTCGCCTAATAGGATTGCTTTGGAAAACGCTATCGCTTACGATTTCATTTTATAATTTGTAGCCACCGGAGGTTTTCAAATACCTCACGCACATTTTCTTTAATATTGTTATTAACAATATAAAAGAAAAAAGAGCGCGAAATTTCGGCGGTCAGAAATAACAAAATGAAATCGTAAGCGATAGCGTTTTCCAAAGCAATCCCGTTAGGCGAATGGCCCCCTGGTCTTATCAACGAGCAACAGAGGATCAGTGGTAGAAGGCTTGCCTGTTAAGCGGGCGGCCCGGGTTCGATTCCCAGATATTTATTAATGATTTTAAAAGTTTCGCTTGCATCGTGGTTTTTATAATGAATTATCTTCTTCCAGATTCCGGAGCACCATCAGAGTTCAGCGTCGGGCTTCAGCGACGGCGATAGAGTCGTGGACGATAACAATGATGTCCTCTCCGATGAGAAGGCCAAGTGAGAACTAACTATTATTATTATTATTTATGTTAAAATGGCGGCAGACAAGCTTAAACCCCGCCTGATAATCAGCGGCCACCATATCGTAAAACAGACGCTTGCGATACCAAAAATATTTGCAGTATTGCACTGTAAGGCTTGTGTTATATATACTAAGGTAACGGATAGAATACATTTACTATACACATATAAGTATCTAATATATAAAATTCTCGTGCCGCGGTGTTTGTGGTTAAACTCCTCCGAAACGGCTCGACCGATTTTCGTGAAATTTTATATGCATATTCAGTAGGTCTGAGAATCGGATGTAATCTATTTTTCATCCCCCTAAATGTTAAGGGTAATCCACCCCAAATTTTTTTTTTCAATTTTAGATATTTTTTTTTAATTTTTTTTATGATACATTATACACAAATACATACAACCCTAAATTTTCACCCTTCTTCCACCAACCCCTATTTTTTTATGGCGGTACGAAGTTTGCTGGGTCAGCTAGTATTTATATAGAAATACATATTCAAAATCCATGAATGGAGTACAAATGCTCGTATTCAACACACAATCATCTGCCGCCACCGGGATTCGAACCCTCGGGACCTCTCGAATCGGCGACACCATGAAACCCGGCATACAAACCACTCGGTCACGGAGCTCGTCAAAAATATCACTCGAGCCGTTGCCTACTCTGACACATCCCGTGGATCCTGGAACCTTACTCACAGATATGAAATGAAATGAAAAGTCATTTATTCAGTCTAGGCTGTAAAAAGCACTTGTGAAGGTCAAGAAGCTACGCCATCGGTTCGCAAAACTACGGCGGCAGACCTTGTACTGAGAAGAACCGGCAAGAAACTCAACAAGGGATGTTTTTTTCTCCCTGTATTGTTATATACAGAGTCGTCAAGTTGAAAAATGACTTCAGAGATACGTCTGAAGTCACCTTCCATTACATCATTTACAACACAATAAATTTTATAGTTAACATTATATTTAGTATATAGGAAGCGGCATTAGATAGGTACAATATTACTGTTATGAAAAATGACTAATACCCATTAAATAACAAATTATAAGAAACACTATGTCCATGCATTACGATCATTTAGATAATCATCAACTTTATAATAGCCCTTATTCATAAGAGTATTTTTGATCTGAGATTTAAATTTAGTCAGTGGTAGCTCAATCAGATCTAGGGGAACTTTATAAAACAATGAGCTTCCACTGACAAAATTTAAATCTCAGATCAAAAATACTCATATGAATAAGGGCTATTATAAAGTTGATGATTATCTTAATGATCGTAATGCATGGACATAGTGTTTCTTATAATTTGATATTAAATGGGTATAGTCATTTTTCATAACAGTAATATTGTACCTATCTAATGCCGCTTCCTATATACTACTTAAAATGTTAACTATAAAATTAATTGTAACTATATATTTATATTCTAGATGATGTAATGGAAAGTGACTTCAGACGTATTTCTGAAGTAATTTTTCAACTTGACGACACTGTATATAACAAACAATACAGGGACAAAAAAAACAGCCCTTGCTGAGTTTCTTGCCAGTTCTTCTCAGTACAAGGTCTCCCGCCGTAGTTTTGCGAACCGATGGCGTAGCTTCTTGACCTTCACAAGTGCTTGTAACAGCCTAGACTGAATAAATGACATTTCATTTCATTTCATCATTTCATTTCATCATTTCATTTCAATGCCATACTACAACCCAGAAATGAACCTTTTCATTTTTGGAGTCTGAAACATGGAAATGGACAGAACATGGATAGAAACGCAACGCCACCAAAAGGTAGTATTAATTAAGATAAGATAAGACGAGGAGCTCAATGGCGCAAGTGGTTAGCGCGTTCGGATGTGATCGTTGAAGGTAAGCAACTTTCCCAGTGGTCGGTCATTGGATGGGTAACCGAAAATTTACTATCTCGAGCTTTCTCCGTGCTTCGGAAGGCACGTTAAGCCGTTGGTCCCGGCTGCATCTGCAGTCGTTAGCACCTATCAATCCACACTAGGCTCGCTTGGTGTGTCATGGTCCAAACTCCCTATTCCATCCATAGGGAAGGCTTGTGCCCCAGCAGTGGGGACATTAAAGGGCTGATGATGATGATAAAGATAAGATAAAAATACTCTATTGCAGAACAATAACATAAAGAACACAGAATACGAAACAGCACAGAAACTATTACAATAGCACAAAGGGCGATCTTAACCGCTAATCAGCGATTTCTTCCAGACAACCCAATGAGCAGGAAAGGTAGTGTTATTTAACTGTCTTTTGGAAAGTGAAAAATAATGAATAATAGAAAAATAATTATTCTGTAACCAAATTAACATAAACGTTATTGAAGCAATCTTTTAGGTAAACATATACCTGTGTTAGAATGCGTCGCTCTCTCCAAAACTAAGTAATAAATAACAAAAATCATGTATCTCTTATCTATTAGACGACCTCCGTGGCCGAGTGGTTTATACGCCGGGTTTCATGGCGTCGCCGACTCGAGAGGTCCCGGGTTCGAATCCCGGTGGGGGCAGATGTTTGTGTGATGAATACGAGCATTTGTACTCCAGTCATGGATGTTTAATATGTATTTCATATAAATATACTTATATATGTACAATATATGTATTCTATCCGTTACCCTAGTATCCCATAACACAAGCCTTTACAGTGCTTACTTTGGGGCTAGGCTAATTGGTGTGAGTGTTGGAAATATTTATTTATTTATTTATTATTTATTTATTAGACAAGTCCGTCTGTCTGTGGTGCTGTTTCAGCGGCCAAACCGTAAGAGATAGATAAAGAGAATATTTAAGTTATAAGTTAAGAATAGTCTGATAAGACTACAAACCGGATTTGAGTAACGTAGCACTTCCGGTTTTCGAGAAATCAGGTTTTGGTGAACATTTGGTTCACTGGTTTGCTAGTAAATCTACTATTACGCCTAATCTCATACGTCAACTTGCATAAGTTTTACCACCTCGTCATATTTAAGATTCAAAAGCCATTCAGTTACTTGTTTCTTTAGCTCACATGCAGTGGCGGATTAAACTTTGAGCCATAGGCAAGCTTCTCATCACCGCCTCTATATTAAAAATAAGTCGTAAGCACTATACGTCGTTTGACCGAAACCGATCTGGCCGGTGCGACGAACATTGCAGTCGTATCTTTCCAACTTTAATCAGAGATCATGTACCATTGAGAAGGTAGTTTGTAGGCGTAAGTATTAGTGTCGCCGCACAGTCAGAAAGCCACCTACCTACATAATAAAAACTATTATTCTTGCTTACAACCTAAAGGAGATTGCTCAGCTTCCATACATGTTTGGCCTAAAGACCAATAATCATGAAAAATTGTTTCCTAGATTCGAAATTATATATAAATTACTGTAGAAACGAATATTATTGACGGACACCCCTGAGAACTTCTATAAACCATATACACTGAACATATTAAAATAATAAAAAACAAATAAATTCTATAGTAAACTAGGGAAATCAAGCCAAGTACCGAAATTATGGATTAGATTCAGGTATATAGAGCATGTAGATTAACAGATAGTTGAGTGTTTTTAAAGTTAATGAATAAGAGTAACTTTTAAAATCAGGTGTCATCTATGCATTTCCGGTTATAATAAGGTACTCTGTGACAGAAACTGTGTGATGATTGTGAATGAGCCACAGATTAGAGAGAATTTTTAAACTCTCGTTAACCAAAGGAAGCCAAGAGAATTAGGTTCTATAGCCATATATTCAGTAGCTTCATTATTTTTGTTATGTTTTTAAGATAACCATATTTCTAATTTTTAGTTTATCACACCTTATAATTTTATTTATTTATTAATTAATAGTCAGGGAACGTAGGCCCATAGATAGATACCTTAAAGTCTAACATATTACAGATTATAATGTGTTCATGGAGGTGTTTGGCGAAAAATGTATTGCAATAGACTTTATGATGTCGCCTACCATCTATAATAATTGTCTGAGCACATTTGCATCTAGTGAAAATGATAATATAGTTGTGGATATTAATACCACAGTGTAATAAAAAAAATGATTTATTTAACGATCTTTACAAAATAGATTTGTTTTTGTGTTATAACAACTTCGATCAGTCTTTGGCTGAATGTTACTACACCCATAGCCATTAAAAATGATTCGTATGTTTTCCAAACCGGTAAAACTAAAAGTCCTTTTTAAAGTAAATTTAATATACAAAGGTGTCCGTTGAAATCTAACGACTATAAATTAAATTATAAATTACGCCAAGAATTACCGTGTATGTCAATATTTTTTGTGCATTTAGGCCAATTTGAGCAATCTCCTTTGCTAAAATTTGTAACAAATTTAACCAATACACCTGCTTGTATACGTTCATTGTACACACTAATAATCGAGTTACGATTATCCATATTTGGTCCATCAGAAAATAAATAAGGTCTGGCGGTCTTTGGATTTTGGACTATTTATTAAGCCGTTGGTCCCGGCTGTATGTAATCGTGAGCACCAACCATACCATACTGTCTTAGAGGTGCATACAGTAAAGAATTAAGGCGCATTTATACTAAGTCGTTCTTCTTCTTCTTCTTGCAACGAACGTTTCCGAAATTCGACGACCTTATGGCGCTTATTTTACGTGAGGAAAGTGTGTAGCCGGAATCACTCCAGTCAACCCAGCTCAGGCACGCCCCCAAAGCCCTCACATTGGTGATTGCCTCTTGAAGGTTTCCCGGTGAGCCGAGGTATTTCGCCCGGTATTCGGCCACTCCGTTGTATTCCAGCAGAAAGTGAATAGCTGTTTCTTCTGTCTCCATGCATCCTCTGCATAGGAGGCTGTCCGTGACACCTAAGTTAAAAAGATTTCTGTTAAAATAGGCATCTCCGGTAATAGCACCTGTTACCATGCGCAATGTAGGTTTGTTTAGCTGTAGAAGAGTCTTGGAGAGGGTAGCGTTCACCCGTGGCAAAGCGAGCT